CACCTCCTCGCCCACACCCAGGGCCTGGCCAGGCCGGGTCGGCGTTCAGAATGTGTCAGACCCCAGACAGGCGGAGGGTGCCAGGCAGACCTGGGGGCTGGAGCGGGTCCCAGTGGGACATGTACAAACGCCCCGAAATAGGACGGTGAAGGCAAGCGAACCCCTTGTCCGAGCGAGACAGGCTCTCCCGCCAGATGAGTTTGGGGGTCACACTTGGGCTAAGATGTTAGGGCTCAGAGAGCCTTGGATTTCAGAGGTCGTGGCCGTGGCCGTGGGCCTGGGTCGCCAGCGGATCGGGGCGTTCAGCACCCGTGGCGACGCCCGCCTCCACCTGCCCCTCCCGGTTCTGGGCAGGAGGGAGGAGGGAGCAGGAAGGTCCGCGGGGCTGATGAGGAGCACAGCCCCCCAGGACGAGGACGCGGACGGCGAGTCAGCCCTGCCCGGGACCCTGGCGCAGCGGCCAGGCACTGCCAGCCCCAGGCCTTCCTGCTCTGCCCCCCACGCCACCTACAAGGAAGCTCTGACCACATCCCTCCGCCCCCCAGGACGGGCTGCCCGAGCACCTGCAGCAAACCGGCTGACGGTCAGCCCTGGGCTCTGCGTTCTTTGACATCAGTGGGCTGACCGCCACATCCCAGGTGGGGGGGGAGGGTTGTTTTTTGTGTGTTTTTTGTTGTTGTTAATCCTCACCTGAGGATATTTTTTTCCATTGATTTTTTTACAAAGAGTGGAAGGGAGGGGGTGAGACAGAGAGAGAAACATCAATGTGAGCGAGACACATCGACTGGCTGCCTCCCGCACGCTCCCCGACCAGGGCCGGGCATCGAGCCTGCAACGAAGGTCCGCGCCCTTGAACCTGCAACCCTTCAGTCTGCGGGCCGACGCTCTAACCACTGAGCGACCAGCCACGGCGGGGGGGCCTGTTTTGGCTCTGGTTTCTCTGCAGAGCCCTCTCACCAAAAGGCCCTCAACTCCCATGGGAGGTGGCCAGGCCAGGGCTCAGGCCGCTGGGCGGCTGGTGCCCAATTCAAGTCGCCAGAGAGGAGAAGAGCAAGCAGGGCCCGAGCTGGTCCCCGGGAGCCAGAGGGAGGGCTCCCAGCCTGGGAAGGAGGGCCCGTCCTTCTCTGGGGGACGGGTGCTCGTCCCCTCCCAACTGTAGGGGCGCCTGGCTGGCTCCCGCCTGCACACTCCAGGGCTCAGGGGGCGCCCTTTGAAATGGCCCCGGAATGGAGACCCCCGCGCTCTCCCCCTCATCCTGTCGGGCCAGCCCCGCTCCGGGACCAGGACCTGGGGGGTAGCCCTGCTCACGGAGAGGGAACGGCCGCCTCCTGTTCCCGGGGTCGCGCCTTCCCTCCTGCCCGCAGCG